GATCCAGGGACTCCAGGATCATGACCTGAGCCGAAGGCAGTCACTTAACCAACTGAGCCACCCAGGCGCCCTATTTTTTATATTTTTAAAAAAGATTGATTTATTTGTCAGAGAGAGAGGGAGAGAGAGACTGAGCAAGCAGGGGGAGTGGCAGACAGAGGGAGAAGTAGGCTCCCTGCTGAGCAAGGAGCCCAATATAGGACTCAGTCCCAGGACTTGGATCATGACCTGAGCGGAAGGCAGACGCTCAACCCAGTGAGCCACCCAGGCGGCTCCACATGCACATTTTTAGAACATGCAGATTTTAGAAATGTTTAACTTTTCTCTAGATAACTAATATGTCCTCCTTTCTCCTTTCTTTTTTAAGATTTTGGGACTGAGAAGTTTGAGGACTGGTTTCTTTTTTGTAGTCTCAATTTTCTCATAATGATTTGTTTATATCCCCTCGGAGCATCATGTACTTAAAAATATTTCTTTGTTTTTCAGGTTCTAAATGGCTTCTAAGAAGTTGGGTGCAGATTTTCATGGTAAGTGGACTGTTAGATATCATGGTTTAAGTTATGATTTGATCAGAAGATTTGAAATCACTTAACGTTGTCTAAGTAAGTGCACCTTTTTGTTTATTTAAATGAACAGCTTGAGAAAAAGTTGTACAACAGTGTAGCATATACATTCCAATGGATTTCAGGTAATTTAATACTGAAGTATTGAAGTAGATAGTTAAGTTTTAGAGTCTCTGTGGTTATTGTACTTGAAACTACCAGAGGTGAATAGGGAGCCTACCTATTTTTATTGTTTTTCAGCAGTATTTTGAAGTAGTTACATTCCCTTTCTTACTCTCTGGTCATAGCTCTTGGTCATCTCAGGTGTGAAAAACTCTAAACCTTTAGTTAATACTTAATAATGTTTTGCTTTAATGTCCATCCCTGTTGTCCTCCCTCCCTGCCCCACGGTGATAGGAAGTAATTACTACAAATAAACTGTGATCAGTAATTACAGAAATGTTAGTAGTAGTAATTACAGTTTTGCATTTGAAACGAATAGTTTATCATCTTTTTCTAAGATACACCTTTCAAAACTGAATACATTAATAAATTTTATTATCTGCATTTGGGAGGAAAGGAGGTGCCTAAGAAGTTAGATTCTCATTTCATACAGTAGAAGATAAGAATTAAATACCAGAAATAGCCAAACAACAGTTATTTTTTTTTTTTTTAAAGGTTTTATTTATTTATTTGACAGAGAAAGACACAGTGAGAGAGGGAACACAAGCAGGGGGAGGGAGTGGGAGAGGGAGAAGCAGACTCCCTGCCGAG